AAATAAAATAAAATAAAATAAAATAAAATAAAATAAAAAATTTGTCACTCACAAATGTCCTCAGTGGTATTTTGCTTTTGATCACTGTTCAGCCACCTTGCTGAAACCTGCGGAGGCATACCAGCCTGCTGTCTGTCAGCATTCTCCAACATAAGACGTGAATGAGGACATTCAGGAGAACTCGATCCTTTTTTTAGCTGGTTACTGCTACAGTGCACCGTCAGTACTTTAATGGTAGGTCTAGAATTAAAGACGATTAAGAATTATTTGTTCTTCGTTAGCTGCTGAAACCATCATCCAAAATAATAGAAAAAACAATCACTCACTCACTTTCTCAAGCTTTTTTTGATTACATATTCAGGGATTTGGCCTATACTCAAATCGTTTGAATCTACATTTTCCACAGTCCTTTCTGCAGCTCTTAGGGCGTTGCCTCTCACAACTTTAAACCCAACATTCTGCATATTAGTTTTGTTGGGAGTTCTAACATCTGCTACAACTGTACTTGAACTCGCGGGAAAATCCTGAAAGTTCCACATAGACTAACCAAACGAAGATGCATCAGTTATAAAGATAGTTGAAACTCAGCTTTCTTCAAAACTTTGTATCCTTACAGAAGAGCTACCCAAAAATATTTATTTTCATTACCTAATAACAGCTAAATTTTTACTTAAATAATTACAGAAATTAAAAGTTTTTATAAAATCAGAAAAACAACAAAAATAAACCACAGTTTCAGAACCAGCTACCTCTGAATTCAACTTCTGCTCCTCCTCGGGTTTAAAGACTAACCTTCTGAAATGAACGGACGCCTCTTCTTAGATTTAACGGCTCCACTGGCAATGAATTTCCTAGGTTTTCGATATTCTTTTCATTTTCGATATTTAAAGAAACACGGTCAAAGCATAAAGAAGTCCTCTTCCCAGCATGCGGAGATTTCGCAACTGAACCGTTGCCTTCAAATTTCTCCTCAGATAAATCAGAACTTCTAAAATTTTTTAAAGTCTTTTTTATTACCATAGAAAAAACCATTCGCTTTTCAAAGCAATACCGCTGACGTAGGTAAGTCACTCGGTCAATTTTGATGTTAGAATGTGACCTATCGATAATTGGAAAATTAAAGTGGTTAACCTGTTTAAAACTTCACAAAACTTAATTAACCCTAAATAAATGAAAAAATAAAAATAAAGTCATCTTATTACGATGAACTTCTCAGGTCACGCAGTTTAAACGGTGGGACTTGAGGAGGGACTGGAGCAGGTTTTATCGAAGATTCACTATCGCACTTTGGCACTCTCTTTGCGGAAGATCTGCGTTTTTTCCTTCCATAACGTTCCTCTACAACTTGAAAAAGATTACTAAAACTAAACAAGCGCAATAAAAAGGACTTCATCCCTTTAACTATTTCATTTACCCTACATCAGAAACAAAAATTCATAACGACAGAACAACAAAATTGAAAACCGACTGATGCAGGTTTAAAAAGATATTTTATAAACGACTAGAACAAAGAGAAAAAAGCCATATAATCGGATCAAGGTGCTGGAAGGCAGCTTCCAGAAAACTATACCAAAACGTAGCACAATTTCTTCTGCCGTTTCATTAGGACGAACTTTAAGGAATCTAAACAGCGATGACGGAGAAGGAGTCGCATGCGAGCAGGATTGTATTTCGTCCTGCATTATAGAAATTAAGCTTACACTTACAAAAAAAATTTAAAAAATTAAAAAAACAAGTATAAGACATAAGCATACGAAAGCAAATAGAACCCTAACTCCAAAAGACTGCAGTATATCCCTCTGTGTAACTCAACTCGGCATAGGAATGTCAATAATAAAAATCTGGTTAGCGAGTTTCCCGTTAAAAAAGCATCTTTTTAATGTTAAAACTCCTAACCACGCAGCTACAATATGATTTGTGAAACAGTTGTATCTTCGTCATTTCCTTTCCAAGCTATCAATGAAAGAGTATAAGCAAACTCGGAAAATACGATTAAAGAAGGAAGAGATTAACAAAAAGTGTGTTTCACTTGCCCGCAATATTAAAAACCGACTCGTATTGCTTTCGGAAAAATTTATCTATAGTCTCAAAATTTTGAAAAGCCAATAAACCGCAAGAAGCGAACATTTATGAAACGACTTATTAACAATTTAATATAAAAATCTACCTTCCAGTGTGCTGAGGCTACAACTACAATTTTTTTCTTTCAATTTTTGATTCACTAAATATAACCTCAACCTAAAAGTCCTAATCTAGTGCAAATTCACGTAATACACGGTTCACAAACTTAAAGGAAGAATCCATGCTTGTTAACACACACAACATTTTTAAACCTTCCACAAAGAAATCTCAACTCATTTTTAGCGATATTTCTATAGAAAAGAAACATTCCTAAAAGTTAGAAAGTGTTGATAAGGGAAAATCATGAACATTTAAAGTAAGTCTTAAACTTTACTGCGACGGTAAATAATTAGATTTTAAAAAGCATCAAGAACAAAACTTCCATATTATTCAACTGCTGTTCTTTATTTGCATGATACTCCCAGTTTTCTTCATGCTTAACAAGAAAAAATGCACTTCTAAACAATGATTTCCGAAACCCTTTCAAAAAAATTCAAAGTCAAAATCGTTTCATTCACTGACCTTCAAATGACTATATATCTTGGTGAGATGGTACAAAATAAACCGAGAAGTTATATCGTTAGAATAACTTCTGAAAAAATAACCAGTTAGAAAGCAAAAGAAAACTAGAAAAAATAAAATAAAATTGAATAAAAAAGACGGAACAATTTTTCCCGTACAAAGCAATTATTGGACCACCATCTCCTGAGCATGAGTCACTTAATCAGAATTTGAAAATTATGAAATTCTTAAACTAAACAACTCACAGTTCCGAGTCTTCAGTTAACAATGCCTCAATCGTAGCCTTCTGATTAGTGAGGAGTAAATTCACAGCTTCCCTTACAGCAAGGCGTACGCTAAGCAGCTCAGCAGAATTTTTAAACTTCAAAGAATCCATTGCGGTATTAAGTCCAAAAAAATTCAGAGTTCCAAAAAACAGGACTCCGTCAACAGCCTCAAAGGCAGGGTGAATACTTTAAATACCATACAGTTTGCTTAAAAATTGTGCAACATTCAAATTTCAAATAAATGAAAGTCCACATTTAGGGTTTCTGCAACGAAATTCTTCCATAGTTGGCAGTTTTCCAGCATAGCGAGACAATAGCCATTAGACTGACCGATTCTTCCAGAATGCTGGTAGTATTCAGTTCAGCAAAATCTATTCAGTCGCCACTTGTCCTTGGCATTGCATGAATCCAAATTTAAGGTCATGATGTTTCATAAACAAGTATGTCATCCTTTCAAATTTCCACCATTATTCCCCCGTAATATTGAAATCTGTAAAATTGTTTGTTTCGCATTTCCAAGAGCATTATTCCATTTTCTTCAAATTTTTACAAAAACACGTTCAAACTCGTCCGGGACAAAGAATAAAAGATTGCTGTTTTTCGCTCATGCATATGTAATTGTTAATCGATGTTGCTTCTCTAATGCCCCACTTGTATTTTCAATTTCACCAGCTCAGACCTTATTTGTAATCACTGTGTGACTGATACCTGCCGTTTATTTATTTTTTCGATTAAATAATCATCACTGTCGACTTTTATTCGTAGCAGTGAAAAAAACGTTATTTGTTGAATCATGAAGGTAAGATTGCAGTTGAAAAATCCAATTCACAAACATGGAACACTTCTAGTCTTAAATATAGTTCTCGTTAAAATAAAAAAAGCTGCAAAGAGTTGTGAAGTTTATAAATTTTCTTTCACAGCCACAAATTGGGAAAAAAATTTTCCGTATAAAATAGTGCTGAATGAATTTCATAAAGACTTGCTCATCTGATTATGGGTCGAAAATTTGTGGCATTAAGCATGTAAAATTTTCTTGTTTGTTAGTATTCTTCGAAAAGACGAAGAAGTAGTGAAAGATGCACTTGAGTGGAAAGCAAAAAGACATAAGCGAATGCGGTATTAAACGTTGAGCTTTGCCTTCAAATACAGAAGGATTGGACTAAAATAGAACTATACAGCATTTCCACAATCAATAGTGTGTTACCAGTTATCTTCATGAGAACATTTATCAGGCCAGTAACCGTGAAATCTGGGAATTTTAAAATTTTTTGCAACAGTGAAGTTTACCAGTTGGTAAAGCTGCTTTTCGGTTAACGCTTTTGACTGTGTCCAAAGCAACAAAAACTAAGTGTGGCTGAGGTGGTAAGTCTAGTTTAGAAAATGTCCAAACTAAACTTTATACCATCTTAAACAGAACGATCATAGAGGTTTTGCTGATTTGAATGAGAAGAAAATTACAGCGCAAGAAAAAATTTGGACACCATGAAATAAACTTGTCCAACACTTCCTTATTTTAATTGAGTATTCTCAGAAAAATCTTTCCTAGTAGAAATCCAAAACACGAACCAAAAATAGATCCTTCTTTTGAAAAAAAAAAAAGTATTTGCGTTGTGGACGGTCTAGAAGTTTGTACATGCCATAGAGAAGCATCCGAGAAGGAAGGAGAATAGGGGAGTAGCTGGTGACTAACTTACAACGAAGGACTTGCCCTAGTTTTTCGTAAATGCCACTGTTCGTTACTTTC